CCTAGATAATTAGGTAACGAAAAAACAGGTTGGAACAAGAGCGGTTGGGCGCAAAAAACGAACGCCGTTGATTGGCTTGAGTACAAGATACATTCACTTTGAACGAGTAAGGGGCACTGCAAGACCTTGCACTGACGACTCAGGCAAGCGGTGAATAAAAAGACGAACTATTGGAAATGTAAATGACTAACATCACCATCATCATTACCAGCCGTAACAACCGCATATTTGTTGTACAGTGGTCGCAGCTGCTACAGTTTCGTCCATCGATGATGTGGGGAGGTAGGGTAGGTGGTAGCATATTGGAGGTGGAAGCTGGTAAGTTGGTGCGCAAATACAGGTCTGTCAGTCGACTTTTAAGTGGGGGGTGGGGCATTTTAAGAAGCACGAAAAACAGGCGATCACCAGTAAACCATGGAATTAATTAGTAATAGACAGTAATCATTGACTACAGTCTTGAACGAGTGGATGCTGTAAAATGCGCAGAGAAGAGGGTGGAACAGTGTTACAGAGCCGTGCTGTTTCGGAGAAAAACGGAAAGGAGAAAAGTCCTATGCAGCAACGTGGAATTTTCACCTAATAAGAGAACCCGACGGCAATCGATTTTGTCCTGAGCCTGCCTGATGTCATGAAGCCCGAATATGCGAGAAGTGGATTCATTAGCCCTCGGAGCAATCAAGCACAGATACTTGCTTTTCAATCAGTGATAGCCAGACTACGCTACCTATCTCGGTAACTGCTCTGTTTTACTGTCGTATGTGATCCGAAGACTTGATAGATGTTGGAAGTGCCCCTCTGAGGACTCCCTCCATCCCTCAACACAAGTTAGCGCCGTATAAACACCAGACCGGCCTCATCCGCATTGTATATAATGACAAGCCAGAGATCCGGTTAAGTAAATTTCAGTTTTTCGTTCGCGTAACTTACTGTGCTAGTAAACATATCATTAACTTTGCCGCATAATAATAGACCGTGTTTGATATAACGGGATTAGAATCTCACGAGACGGAGATCGCTGGCTGTAAAGTCGTCTTCTTCTGTAGAAGCATTAAACAGCCGTTTCGGGGACTAAAACACAAAAACATTTGAAGGTCTCCACGTACAGGGCACCGTATGTAACGTAAGCAACATTGTCCTCTACCGACCTTCACTTTCAGGAGCATGATTTCATTCTCCACAGAAAGCACCACAGAGATGAGGCTCAATGTCCTTCCATTGCTTTGGGAAATCACATATTGACTGATCAGTTGTTTTCACTAGAATAGATTGTCACTCAAAAAGAAAGTGGATCTCATTTCGAGGTCCATTATTCTAGATCCACTGCGCACATGATAGCTAATTGGTGGTAAGCATTCCAATAAACAGGACCTACTCAAGGATCGAATGTGCATCGGTCACTTTCATCGTGCAGACCATGAACTTCGACTTCGAAACTGGATTACAGGCATGTATGCCCCCACTGTCAAAAGCAAAGCCAGAGAAAAAACTGCACGTCGTTTCTTGAGTGTAAGCATGCACGTATACAGTCGAACGAAGATGTCGTATTTCGCGTCAACTGATAACTTCTCACGGAATAGAACCTTGATGTAACCATCCAACAACATTGGTCCGGTGAACGGTGGATCAGTTTGCAACATGATTGACATTCGTTTCGGAAGTACATCTTCACTATCTGTACAAGTACAAACAACCTGAACTTATTCAGCTACAAGTTCATTCGTTGAAAGTGGTAAAAGCCACCACTTAGCAATCCAGTGTCCCTTCGGGAGAGGGGCAGTTTCGGTTCTGTTTGCCCGTTTTGACAAGTGTTCGTTTCGCTGTAGTTCGGTTTGCGCATTTTATTCGTTGCTGAATGACAATCGCACAAAAATATTACATCTGGAGGAGCCGATTTCAGTGTCTTGATCCATATTTCGTTGTGTGCAGTTTACTCAGGCACCTTAGTAAGCTTAGGGATGAACTTTTTGACACAACTGTGCTCGCCTGTCTAGCATACACGAGAGAACAGCTAGTGGACAAAAACTCGGCGCGGTTAGTTCCTGGACAAAGGCCATTCCATTTTAGGGTAGTCGCGCAGCCAGTGAGAACGTTATAACCGAATACTGGAATCTGAGGTATAAGCCCTATGATACCCAACTCCAACCGGTCTATAAAATAGTCCACGGTTAACTGAACACAACATCACTACGTCCACAAACAGTTAATATGAACAAAAAAATTAACCACAATTTTCCATTCGGGTACAAACAAGAAATCAGCCTGGACAGATGAAAATTAGTGTTTCGTTCTTGCGCAACAGGAGTTTTACGGGAAACCCAAATAATAACACGAGGAAACTCGGAAAATCCGGCAGATGTCTGATTGAGAGTATACTAAAATATTCACTATACTTCGCTGCAATTCCTGTTTTGCTTGCCAACGATGTCTCCTATTCACCACTCGACCGGTGGAATGTGAACAAAAATAGACTGCATATTCAAACAGTATTAGAACCAACTTCAGTAAGCCTCCTTTGTGTCACCTAATCGAGGAATACCGCTTTCTGTGCTGCCACGCGCGCCAGTGTGCATTTTTGAATGACTATGGCTCTGTCTCAAGTTTCTGCGCATCAACGCTAATAACTGGTAAATGCATGTACAACTTGGCAATATGAATAAATAAAAGGTTTACATCGGAACATTGCACGGATAGTCTATTCACCAAATTTTCTTGTCTCTCGAGGTTGTATGTGTTTGCCAATACCAGACCCGTATACATTCAAGAGTAGTGTGACAGGTTTGTGCACTAGACAGACGCGCCATCCAAATCCGATCAACCCAATCGATCGCACTGCACAATCAGACGCACCTATACAGTGTTACAACATCCCGCCTGTCAATAGTCAGTCTGCAACACCAACCACCAATTACGAACGGAGAGCGATGGGCGGTTGACGTGGTGAAAGGAGGAAAACGGGCGCAAGAGACTTTTGTATGCACAGGAGTATCACGAGGGACGACCATCAGCTGATTACGCAGGTTTCGGTGAACAAATGGTCGCGAAGAGCAAGCTACGGAGATAAGCAGGTAAAAAAACGCATTGAAACGAAATTCTAGTGATCATTGTCTGTTTTGGGTGTGGGTGGGGAGCTGGGAGGACTCTGAAGTCGATTTTTTCAGGATTGTTGGAAGGGGGTGACGGTTTAGGCCAGGAAAACCAGGGATCTTTTCCAGATAAGCCCGACCAAAAAATTAACCCCCGCCACCCAAAAAACATTAGAAAAAAGAGGATATGAAACTGTACATTTAGTTTTTTATGGAGAGGGTGAAATTGGGACATAGCATTATTAATTTGCATGATAAGGCCCGTTTTTCGGTACCTTTCCCTCCAAACCAACTCACACAAGTAGCTGTCCACTAAAGATTGGTGCGTGCCACATTCGCGTTTATTCTGTATCTTGTAGACGTGCCAAAGAGATTCGATGGTTTGTGTGTGAGCTTAAGGCGTTGGATCCACGAGGTTTTCGGTATGATTAACCGTCTCATGAGCATAATTCATGTCAATCATCGTTTCAATCCCTTCGTATGATGCCCACATACTGGAGATGATGATTGAGCCGCGAGCGATGCAGGCCTGGATTGTGTCCATCAAAGTAACGGAGTGCGATCTGGCACTGCATACATAAACACCTTTTTATTTTCCCGGCAGACGAAAACGGTTATTCCATTGGCAACTGTGTATTCCAGTTACGTCCGGGGCTGGTTCTCTTAATAATGCACGTCAATAATTCTCGCCAATGAGGTCGGTTACAATAAATAATGCCACAGCAGTGGTTGACGTGCACGCATGAAACACACATGAAAAGTACTCAGCAGCTTGGGGGAAATTACCTTAATGGTGATGTTCTCGTGACCGACAGCAACCAGAACGTTGATGGGAGGAATGTCAGACGAACAGTCACCATGGTGCTCCACAACGGCCCGGAGTGCGTTCTGTCGATTTGACAAAAAGAGGCAGCGATCAGGATAAAACGGTCAAAATCACAAAACAAAGTAAATAGTGAAATTTCAATCTTGCACCACACTCTCGCCTCCCTCCCAAAAAACATACTGAGAAAAGGTATCAACTGTATGGTTGTCGATCTACCCACACCTCAACATGACGCGTCATTGGCAGCACAACATTGAATACTGATGCTTGCTATAAAAAATATTTATTCGAAAGAATTGTAGTGACGAAAAGAATGGAAGTTTACACCAGCTAACCGTAATTACTTCGAGGTGCCTACACCTCCGGACATCGTGGATAGAAAATGACAACAACGCCATTGACATCAGTTAGCAGCGTCTCCAGCCACGCGCACCAGGGACCACGAGGACCCCATCTTGGAAGGCGAGTCCGACCAAAGGTACCCGGAGTTTCGCCATTGCTTCCAAATAGCCAGACCAAAAGATGACAACCTCTCTGCCCGCGCGACTCCGAATAAGGTACGGAAAACAGCCCTCCCTTCGGCAAATGATGGCTCAGCATGCGCACTACACGACCCAACTACCGCAGTTTCTCGTGCGGGGCATTTTCTTCGATTGAACTCCCTGTCGCACGACCGAACACTCAGTTTCTAATTGTCTCACTGCGAATTCATCAAAACCAGCTTACATGAACTATAGTCCTGAGACAACGATTATCGAAGACTTGAAGGCGTTTCAGTTTCACTGCTCGCACAGGCCACATCTGATATGCATACGAAAACAACACACGATGCACAATCCACCTGGGATTCAGGGACGTATCGCTTTATGACCGCAGGTGCCTGGAATCGGCAAATGCGAACTGAGCCTAAGAGATATGAGCATTAACCTCATCTTTCACACTATACTCGGAACTAATACAACTTACAAAACACGTAAAACACTCCACAACCTCCACATCACTCACCGTATGGAAGCTTCTGGAAAGCTACACGTATGTTCTCACACGCCCACAAATCTGGGAACACAAAGGACCTATGACGTTCACAAACTTTCAGAGGATTCCTTGTTGAACAACCTTGTTAAGATCGGACCGGTTAAGTGATTCAAATGGGTTTTGGAAATCCAAGAATACCAAAACTGTGGGCCGCTCATATGCATGGCGTTGTGCTGGCAGGCCGCAATCCTGGTTTCTGGTCGAGAGTCAATGCTTCACGAGTTCGGGATAGCTAGGTGGTCAAGGCGCGAAATTACTGACTGGATTGTCCGTGTTTCGAAGCCAACTCTGCCATCTCGACTGCTCCTGCCTAGGCTCAGGCAGTTTCTCAGCCATTGTGCTTCTTTTATACAGTATGGAAGCTAAGCACCGTAAGGCTTATGATACAGCTGAACGATATCTTAACACCGATTCGCCCTTGTTGTACGCGACGGTCTCTTTAACTCAGATGGTAGCAAATATAACAGATAGGAGCAGACTGAGGACTTCACCACCATCCAATTCAGTACAAAGTGACATCTGACGGTGGAGTGGTTGGAAGAGCACGAAATACGGTTCTAATAAATTCGTCCAACTTCAAGATTTCCCAGCCTCCCAGCTGCCAAGTGAGTTATTCGCCCATGAAGAGATCAGGGAGAGAAATCACCCGAGACGAGCGATCGGTCCGAATCCCCATAAGTGTTCCAGAACGAGAGGCTGTCAGTTATTCATCCGCACCATCAGGAGCTGAGGGCAATGTGATCACCTCGGGCTCGTAGCCAGGAACACCGCTGAAGGACAGCCCGCGACCAGAGTAATTCGCTCATTTCGGAAGTTGGTACTGCATAAAACTGTTTGCAGTCAGTACAAAGTTAAATCAATCGTCCACCGCTGTCTGTGCGTACCAAGTCTAATCCCATTCGGTTACCCAAAGGAGTCTCAAACGGACTGAGTCTACCCACTTTTTAATTTAAATCTGTGGCATCCAAAAATCTATCTGAGCTTATATTCACGTCCTCATAAAAGTTGAATTTGATGGTGTCGGGGCTGCAGTCGGTCGGAGCGTCCGCACAAATAATAATACCTAGTTCTCGCTTGTAAGACTGTCTCACAGACGTTGTCAGGTGAACCGTACGGAGTCGACTATCAACGGGTGTCCAGTCAAGCAAGAATCTTTCAACCCGATGACTTAGGATGACGCCGACCACTAAACATCCTAACGAAGCGGGCCCTGGATCGCCAGAGGCGCAAGCAGGAGCGAGTAGTGCGACGCGACAGTTAGTTCAACTACCGCAAAGGCATCCCGATATATTGTGTCTGATACGCAGTAAGTATCGCTGTCGAGCTAGTCCAGCGTGAGAGCAACAGCAGCTTGGCCGGCTTCAAAACAGGTATACGAATTAGTCCAATCAGAACTCATAATGTCATCGGCTTTGCACCTGAAAGAAGTGCCGAAAATTCAATGATATCACTTTCTAAAGTCTATGAGACATCACACATAAGTTGAACAAATCAACCGTTTGGATACTAATTTGATGTTCGTTTGATATTTAAACAAGCGACTACAGGTCCGGAAGATTGTGAATCCGGTGACAATCTGTTAGCAAATTTTGATCAAACTACCCATGATGGCTACAGGAAATATTGCTTTCTTAGGAATAATTACATAATAATACATTTTTGGTGAGCAAACGGACGCTATCAGTTGCGGTAGAGAGAGGGGGGGGTAACGGCCGGCAACGTCAGTAGACGAACTTTGAAGCCAAATAAATACTGCTTTCAGGCTTATCCTATCAAGGCGAATCACGAGAGACCCGTGCTGTAGTTGAGCAGATGGGGTATGTTGGGAGAGGTCGAGCGAATGCGCGTACACAGCAATCTGATGTTCCAGTGAATAGTAAAACCCATAGAAACTCAAACAAAACATGATAACAAGTGTACACCGTACACGTTGGAATAGCCATTATTTTGATAGTAATTCCGCCCATAGTTACACCTACTTGTCAACTGTCTGACGATTCTGGAGAAAAAACCAAGCCGTTAGGCAGTGACGCAAGTTTTGTTGCTTTGTCATTCTTTCGCCTGAGTTCCCGACATGATTGGAACTCGAAAAAAACTTGTCGGAATGGTCTTGTGTTATTGACGAATTCAACTAAGATGTGGCGAGAGTAGCAGCTTGTTGAATTATTAAGATGACTTTCGTTCAAAATCGGGTGAGAAGTGATCTTGTTTCAGGTAAATATGAGAAAAGTTTGAATGGATTATGCATACGGTGTGATAACCTAAGTTGGGCGTACACACGATTCAGATTAAGCAGTCTTCCTAAGAAGGTGGAAACTCGCTAGGTAAGGCGGACTAGGTTTGATTAAACCACGCACCAGTGAACAGAGAACCAGAAACGGCACAAAACTTACCTTCAGTAATTCGAATAAAATGTGATATAAATGAGACGGGACATAGACGAAATCCACTTGGCCTTGTGGAGCTGCGTTGGCGAAACAAAAAAAAACATCGTGGGTTTTTAAGACTGCGAGACAACGGTCGTTCATAACTGATATAAACAGGGGCAAAAAACGGAGTTCCGAATTAATAAGGCATATGGTAAAGTACCGCAACAGTTTTGCGGCTCGTTGCAGAATAAACCGGACAGCAATCTCCCGTAGAGGAAGGACTGGCCTTTCTTCAGGTGGATTTTACACTGAATAAAAACTAACTCGGAAAATCCTTGTGCGGTCCATTCGGGGAACTACCGTACCGACAAGTATGGTTGGGTAGCAGATAATCTCAGCAACGGGTATGTTGGTAAGAAGAATCTTACTTTTCGAGGCAGTAAAAAAGTAGGTCAGTAAGTAAATCATAAAGCGAAGCATCGTCATAAGCGGAAAAGTAGAAAACCGATTCGATTACTACGAAAAACCGAAAACCCTAAAGACTCATAAGCCGACTGGTTACACCTGTGCTGGATGACCGGACAACGTCAACGGCGTTGCACTGGAATTCGGACACCTGATTTCAACCGGAAAGTTGGAATCCCGTTGGTCCCCTCTAAAAGCAAACAATCTCAAGGAATCGAGAGTCGTTTGGTTATAGAAGACAACGCTTATTTACCGCCATTATCGTTCAGAACAGACTGCTTGTAATTCGCTGACTCCAGGTAAAGTATACACTGTGCGAAACAATTTTATGGAGGTGCAATTTCTCGACGGCTTAGAAAGTTTGTAACATTCGGTTCCATCTCTGTATAGATCACCTTCCAGCTGAGACAACAAGCCACCTTGGTCAAAAAACATCCTGGCAAGACGTCCAGCCATATGTTCGTGTTCTAAACGACGTCGATTATGAGCGCTGTACACAAGTATGGATAAGGCGAACCCACAATTGCATGCACTGCATGTGAAGTTATGGGATGAAACGTTGACAAGCCTGGTCATTGGCCACACGCAGATTTGAAATTTTCATAGGATCATCCACATATACGCGACGTCTTGCTGTCCTTAACGATGATCAAATCAAACCTTTCTCAGAAATTTTGAGGTCGCCTAACCCAGTAGTTTTCAACCGACTACGGAGTGTATACCATCTGTAGCATATCGCGAACGGTCATTTCTGTCACTACATATTTTGCCGACCTAGAACAGTGTATTCCAAGTAGACGAGCATTAATCATAAGCAATGAATTGAAATAATCCGGATTATTGTGTGGCAAAACAGGGCGAAACTGGCATTGGGCACTCGACGAGTTCCCGCTTGTTGTACAAGTGGGGTGTTGTAACCATAATCACTTTACCAATATTCATAGAGGAGAATCAGGAGAATAAGTTATAATACAATAATTCCGATTATTTTAGGAAAGCTAACAGTTGTTGCCAAACTTGTAATTTTCTGCGTGTTCCGACTGCGGACAAGTTTGTGTTCGGGACTGAAAAGGTATTGGCCTGATTTGGGCGCGGTATATGAACCCTCAGGCACCCGGTGAGGCAGCGGTTGTGTAGACGTTGACAGCAAATGGTGATAAAATCAAATTTCTCAAACTACGTGCCAGAAAAACAGCGCTCAGTATTCGCACAATGGAACTGAATTTTCGAAAGCTACGACGTGTCTTTGACGGACTAAAGCAATCGGGCAACTGAGTTCAGAATACCAGTTCAAACTTATGAGCCCCATTTTGGCACCCCGGAGTCTCAGCAATGCTTAGAAACTATTTCACCAGACTTTTCCGCCAGAGGTATGATTGCTTCAGTGGACAGTGGAATTTGGTGAGCTGCAGAAATGTGAAGATTAGGATGGTTTTTGGCTTGAGTACATCGCAACAAAATGCAACATTTTGGCGTAAAAAGTTTTACCCCACTCGTAAAGGTTTTGCAGCCAAAAGCATTGTGCGGCTCATGGGCCCCAAGAAAACCCACATAAGCTACTTCACTTTGGTGTGAACATACAAGTTTACGTCCAGTCGTACGGTGATCTAAACTCCTATTAATTCACATGCTTTATCAAACCTAGTCAATGAAAGACTGTAATCCTGATAAACCAGATGAGTTTTACAATACGCTCCTCCGGACAAACTAATCAGTTGTCAGCCCAAGTTATTTTGTCGAGCCGCCGAACTACACTTCTGAACTATAAAAGTTTAACTAACCGCACAGTAAGATAGAATTGAACGGTCGGATTCGGTAGACGCACGTGGCAATTGCAGGATGTGGTGTCAAACGGTCCCTAATTAGAGAAATTCGTGTTACCTGGCATTAGAATGTCCATACGACCTAGAAAAAAAAACAGTTGAACTTGATCGACAGTTCAGCCGACCAATAATACAACACAGTTCAAAGTTTCAGGGTTCCAGCACCGACAGGTATACGGGGTGGTTTTGGCGAATGGCTTAAGAGGACAGTAATATGGGTTGGAATGATCCACTGAGAGACATAATGAAGCCGCTTTGATTTACCCTAAGAAGCGTACTTTGACTGGCGTGACAAAGTCGCAAGACGTCTGCAAAACTTCAGAAAAAATACATGAAAAATACCACAGATTGGTTCCAGCCCAACCACAGTTCATGTGCATGTGTACAAGCACAGGTCGTTCCAGTGCAGGAAGGTTTAGTGAACTTAATTTTCGAGTTCAGAAGCACGAACGCATGCAGCATGCTTTACACAGTATCGATTAGGTTTCGTATTTCCACAGGATCAGAAGTGCAAAGTGCATTTGGGTGGTAGGATGAGAAAGCGTGCATTAAATCGGGCTAGAAAGACTGACTAAGCACATGACGGAAAGCTGCGGTGCGTTTTATAGCCCTAATTGCCTGGCCTGGAGGCCGCACAACGTCTTCAGTGAAGTTGTCAGATGAACTTAACGTAACTTAACATAACTTAACGAGATCCAATCTCTATAGGAACGTGCAATCCACTTCAATGTGCATAGGGATGATGAGACGTGTATGTGCTGTGTGCAGAATTATCCGGCGATGTACTTCATCGTCCGTCACGTGGTGTTCCCACAAAACGCAAACAAAATGACCTAAGCACAAGTTATCGAAAACCGTTGACCTCCGGAGATTCTTAACGACAGTCCTGATTGCTCAGTATGCAAAAAAACGAAATTCGTTCAATTTACTACCCAAATCGTGACCGGTTAACATAAAACTAACCTTCAAGTAGATCCTAAGGTTGACGAAACTCGGGGACTGCGCCTACCTCATGAGCCCCAAGAAGGGCGAAACCGGTCGTGGGCTGTCGAAGAGTTTTAAGCAACCTTGTGAGTAGTTTCCTTTATGAAAATAAAACTAACCTTGTTTACAGACCATCATGGCCATCCAACAAGCTCGGATCGCCAACGATAGAAAAAAACAACACTAACTGCCATATTGTCTTCGATCAAAGTTATGATGGTCTGGCGCCCTAATTACTTGGTGTCTGGCCACTTTCTTTGATACAATATGATCCCAGATATCAAAATTGAGCAAGTATTTTCACGTAAGATCCTACAGACGAAAAAGTACGCCACGCCAAGACGACATTCTTGAAACAGAGTTTTTATTAGAGCTGAATTCAGGCTCTAAGATCAGCGCATGTACCTCATACGCAACAGTACGATGGCCCGTTGATATGCAACGCTCGTAACCCAATTATTGTTCTCCGTGTTCACCATCATCCTCAAGAGTCAGTTTTACGTCTCCTGTCTCCTGAACGTCCTTGGACAACGGAGGATTGTCGCACAGGAAAACTACGGAACTGATGAAATCGGCATGAGTATAGCGTCAATTTCGGATTAAATGTGATAGTGTCGATTCTCCACCAAGTGAAATCGATATGACTGATATGTTCAGCACCTCCCTGGGAAGAAAGCTGGTCTCCGCTGAAAGGCAGTTTCTTCCCAGAAGCTCGTAGCCATCGAAAAGAAACTCCAAAGAAACAAGTAGAAGTGACCTCTTCGGAAAGTCAGACTCTGGTGACAGTGGTCTCACACGATTGAGAGAACTCAAATGTCAAAACTATATACAGATGTGTTAGAAATAAACCGTGACATCAAAATCTTGACAGGCAACGACAGAGACGCGCACAGTGTAAGGTCGCAAGTAATATCCCTGTTCAGAGTTATGTATTCTGATAGCATCAACTGTTCTAGCCTGGAAAAACTATTCGTCGAAACGAACCACCTTCATTTAGCCTGTGAAGTAATGAACAAGCAACCACTGACTGGTCCCTTGATATGGCTATTTTTTAGAGAAAGGAAGAAAAATTAGCCAAGGTGCTTCTAGACCACCACTTACAATCAATTTTATATTGTCCGGATATCTTATTTACGGGTCTGGTAATTCAATATACCAGCTGGCATGGAGCGTTTTAATAGTGGACATCACAGCAAAACAGACCAACTAACATAAGAGTGATTCTGGTCATTTCAAAGTTTTTTTTGTAGGGGAGTCGATTTTCAAACAGATTACTTTCGATCAGTCTCTTGAATTGGCTCCACAAAATCGAAAAATGTACAAATTCTTACCTCTTCAGGAGATGCCCAAAGTGATCTCTCTATAAACTTGGTCTCCGTTTGGAGGGACTCAAGCACTGAAAGATTCAAGGGTCTAGCTGCAAGTGAGCCCGTCTACAGGTAGGTCCCCACGGCGAGAAACACCGTATTCATGTAACCTATAGTGGACATCATGGTGCAGAACCACCACCATTCAATGCTCCAGGGGAACACTCGTCACACTAGGGACCAGTTACCTAACCAAATACCTAACAAAACATATGATAATTCAGTGCATAAACCTTGTATAGTGGTTTCTGTTTAAAAGTGATTAACGCCATGGGGAAATTCAGGGTGTTAGAAACTGTGAGGTGGTCTCTCAAAAAGTATAAGTTTCAAATCGAAATTCGCGAGATCCGAGGTGAGTGGTCCTAGCTGGGGTGATCATCCATGGAAATGACTAATATGTACCTGATGCAAAAGAGGATTTTATAGAGAATGTTCAGTTAATGGTGGCTGAACTGGTGATTTTTCGCTACTGCAGCAACCGATCAGAATCAGAGGCCACTCATTCGAGGTGTCCATTTGTGAACTCGCGCACATCACTACCCGACACACCGAGGTATAGCTCCGCTCTGCATTAAAACAATGCAACGATGATGTTATCTCGGTTGGTGAAGAAACATAGGAAAACTGCCAGGTTCAGCAAACAATTCGACCATTAACCACTGCATATTACACAACTCCTCTTAGTAGGACTACCTCTAAACGAACAAATCCGCTTTACTAACGCTTTGTCTTGTATATCGAAACCTTGTATCTACACTCCAGCCTCTCACTGACATCCTGTTGGACTGTTAACTAATTTTATATTCTGGTTCAGTTGAATTCCACATCGTGGAACGATCCATTTGTTTGCAGCATAACTTCATTCAAGTTGCCTGTCTTCTCCATTCCGGTGAACTAACGCGTCTGACTGATAAATTATCAAAAAGGATATTACATCTCCCTTCCTCTATTGTCATTGAGGTTGATGTTTGCAGTGAGTTATCTGAATGGAAGTTGATACAACTGCTTTGGCTAGTATAAAAGCTATTCATGGGCTGATTTAAATTACCAGAGTAACAGAACGGGGAATAAATAAAACCCAAGAACCTACCTCCACAAGTCTCCACCACTAGCTGCGGAGCAACTGAATAGTAATGTTCGCAAAGATACCGTGCATCTCCATAGGCATCCTCCATTATTTCTAGGACATTGCAAGCCGGATCGATCGATCCGATAAAGCGGCGCTGTTTGTCGAACTCCGATCCGAAAGTTAGAACTGTCAGAATAGGAACAGTACGGTAGATTATCGAAAAACGAGTGAATTTCACGGCAGATCATAATGGTAAAACAAGAGCGCGCATGATGGCTCGGAAAAGGGTGCTGAATAATGTCAAAAATTGATTAATCGAATTAGATTGTTGATGATATGCAGGCCCTACTCCCTGCGCCCTCAGGATAGGCTGGAGCCTAGCAGCAAAGCGGCTCAGATTACTGAGCCAGCAGGGTCTCCCAAGAAAGCTACTACTCGCTGCCTCGTGGGTTAGACTCTGAGATTACCTCAAAGGTTAAGGTCGGGGCACTGGAACAAAACCTTACGTTTTTCCACAGTCTTGTGGATCATACTTTCAAGTCAAAAGTTCAGGATGGAGTGCCTTGCCTTCGTCGGTCTGGGAAATCATGAAGCATCATTCGCCCTTGCAGCTCTGTTCACAAGCACTCAACCACAAACCCTTCATATTCATCAAGTGGCACGCTGTGGTCGATCCAGCTGCCAGTTACCTTACCACTGTTCTGTGTCTAAATTGTCTCCCAGTAAAATAAATCTCAAGAAATCAAAAGGTTGGACCAAGTTACAGCCTTCAATTTGCGTATTGTATCAAATTGTGCAATGGAGACTTATTGCTGAAACCTTGTTAACCGTTTCTGTCGATATATGCTGTTTCTCAAAAACATGCAGACAGTACCCCACTTCCGTCATGCGCCTCAGATCCTTCAGGACGAGCTAAGATAGTTTACACCTCATTGTGGATAATGGGACAGTGGCTCAGTGGTATATATGGTGCGGTCGTTGAACTCATCTTCAAGTCTGAAAGCTCTTTTCTGGGCTGGATCCTAGTAAACTGGTGTTCTTTGCGCTGTGCGGTTGTCTGGTTGAGTTAGGATGCATTCCGATGTGGCAGAAGGGGTACATTTGTCGGACGGTGGATCAGAAGCTGAGGAAGACGGGTCTCTCCAAAATCTATTACAGCTGCTTCGATCAAAAAAGAACATGAATACTCAAGCTGGACGACTAAGCCCGGTAGGAAAACATTTGGCTGGTACATTTGGAGTTGGTTCTTAACGCACGGATTTCGGTGAGTGAATTCTTCGGTTCTGTTCCTGGTCAATATGAACTTTCAATACGAATGCTCACACCGAGCAACCTGGAGACCACCAAAGGAAAGCCAGTAACGAAGGCAGTCGGATCATGTCACTATTAATTAAAGATGCAGATTCTCAATCAAACTGAGCTACTGCCAACAGGGACAACGGTGTCAATGGCAACACTGATGCTTCACTGCACACAATCATAAAGTTTGCCTAATCATATTTAGTTATATATATATATTATATTAAAAGAAAATAATGCGTGAGGGAGGGGACTGATGCTCGCTTATCGCAAGCATTCTGGAGTGCTTAAACCTACTAATGCCCAATCGGACAATCTGAAAAGAAACTGATATCACGAGCGCCACTGACATTGTTCAGCGCCATTTCTTGCAACGTCTCCAAACAAACACTTGGTGGGAGGTAACGGGCACCCCATCGTGGAAGGCACACCGCAACCCTAACAGCAAATCTCTCCGTAATCTCTTTTATGCCCCTCCACCAAGTCATATGCTATCCAACTAGCGGCTTGTTCCACTGCGAAGAAGGCACGGTCGACAACATGTGTCCAGGTAAGCGGTGTGTTGGGCATTCGTGGAACATGGCGGAGCCATCGTAGACGATGGTTCTAGATGTCCGTCGCAACCGAAGTACTTGCTGCACAACCACATAATCGTTTTCTAATTACCTCTTGATGAATTCGTCGACGCAGTCCGGTGCCAGTAACACTTCTGAGAAATCGGTGGTGAAAAAAACCGAAGACGCTTCACATCGTCCGTCCACAGACGTCATGTTTCGCAACACTGCAACCTAGTGATATGCCTTTTTGACGCCACAAATTAGCAAACGTCATTCAGGCCTTTGAGATTCATATACCGGCTCTATCAGACCCTTCCGTGAGAACCAGCATAACTACCGAGGTATGTAAAATCCTCCGAAATCTCCAGTGCTTCTCCTTGAATTGCAAGGGGCATGTTCAACGAGTGCACGTCGTGAAGCATCACTTTGCACTTCACCAACATTAATAATGACAGTAAATGAAAACACCGATACTTCGCTGCGGTATAACCATGTCACCTTATTTCAACGGAGCCTTATATTCAAAAGGAGAAATAAATGGGAGAGGAATGGGGGCCTAGGGCTAGCCTAACACAAATATCAGAAATAGCTACACCTCAAGCACTGTCAGACAATCTGGATAGAAATTGACAGCATGAACGCCACCAACATCGGCTAGCCAGCATATCGTTCAATGTCTCCGGTCAAACAAAAGGGAGGTCAAATGGACTCTATTCTCGAAGGCGAACAGTACTAATGGCACCCAAACTTTTCAAAACATCCGTCATTCCCTCTTGCGACGTCAAATTTTGTCCAACTCTAGGTTTCTGTCACTTCCAAGTGAGCACAGAAGACCGCGCTTTTCATGGCATGTGGTGATTCGGCATACGCGGCGCATAGCCCAGTCACCCTAGTTTGAAGTGACGGATGCATTCTTTGAAGGCAGTAACCCCTGCCTCGCCAAAAAACCGCCTCCTGATCAACTCACTGCGAATTTGCCGGTTGTGAGTCATCGGCGGCAACACATTGCATCAAATCGACCCCCACACATTCCGCTTATCGCAAGCATTCTGGAGTGCTTAAACCTACTAATGCCCAATCGGACAATCTGAAAAGAAACTGATATCACGAGCGCCACTGACATTGTTCAGCGCCATTTCTTGCAACGTCTCCAAACAAACACTTGGTGGGAGGTAACGGGCACCCCATCGTGGAAGGCACACCGCAACCCTAACAGCAAATCTCTCCGTAATCTCTTTTATGCCCCTCCACCAAGTCATATGCTATCCAACTAGCGGCTTGTTCCACTGCGAAGAAGGCACGGTCGACAACATGTGTCCAGGTAAGCGGTGTGTTGGGCATTCGTGGAACATGGCGGAGCCATCGTAGACGATGGTTCTAGATGTCCGTCGCAACCGAAGTACTTGCTGCACAACCACATAATCGTTTTCTAATTACCTCTTGATGAATTCGTCGACGCAGTCCGGTGCCAGTAACACTTCTGAGAAATCGGTGGTGAAAAAAACCGAAGACGCTTCACATCGTCCGTCCACAGACGTCATGTTTCGCAACACTGCAACCTAGTGATATGCCTTTTTGACGCCACAAATTAGCAAACGTCATTCAGGCCTTTGAGATTCATATACCGGCTCTATCAGACCCTTCCGTGAGAACCAGCATAACTACCGAGGTATGTAAAATCCTCCGAAATCTCCAGTGCTTCTCCTTGAATTGCAAGGGGCATGTTCAACGAGTGCACGTCGTGAAGCATCACTTTGCACTTCACCAACATTAATAATGACAGTAAATGAAAACACCGATACTTCGCTGCGGTATAACCATGTCACCTCGCAACACTGCTAGTGATATGCCTTTTTGACGCCACAAATTAGCAAACGTCATTCAGGCCTTTGAGATTCATATACCGGCTCTATCAGACCCTTCCGTGAGAACCAGCATAACTACCGAGGTATGTAAAATCCTCCGAAATCTCCAGTGCTTCTCCTTGAATTGCAAGGGGCATGTTCAACGAGTGCACGTCGTGAAGCATCACTTTGCACTTCACCAACATTAATAATGACAGTAAATGAAAACACCGATACTTCGCTGCGGTATAACCATGTCACCTTATTTCAACGGAGCCTTATATTCAAAAGGAGAAATAAATGGGAGAGGAATGGGGGCCTAGGGCTAGCCTAACACAAATATCAGAAATAGCTACACCTCAAGCACTGTCAGACAATCTGGATAGAAATTGACAGCATGAACGCCATCAACATCGGTTAGCCAGCATATCGTTCACTGTCTCCGGTCAAACAAAAGGGAGGTCAAATGGACTCTATTCTCGAAGGCGAACAGTACTAATGGCACCCAAACTTTTCAAAACATCCGTCATTCCCTCTTGCGACGTCAAATTTTGTCCAACTCTAGGTTTCCGTCACTTCCAATTGAGCACAGAAGACCGCGCTTTTCATGGCATGTGGTGATTCGGCATACGCGGCGCATAGCCCAGTCACCCTAGTTTGAAGTGACGGATGCATTCTTTGAAGGCAGTAACCCCTGCCTCGCCAAAAAACCGCCTCCTGATCAACTCACTGCGAATTTGCCGGTTGTGAGTCATCGGCGGCAACACATTGCATCAAATCGACCCCCACACATTCAGGCACCCAGAAGTATGTGAATACAAACAGTGCACGACATTCACGCATACCCTGTTGTGCAAGCGTTCAACAGAGTCAGACGCAATCTTGAAGTCAAGGAACCCCAAGAATGTGGGAGGCAATTGGCAGGCCGTTGCTCTACCACCTGACGGTGTGTGAAGACACTGTCCACACAGTCCTTCTCCGATCGGAATCCTAGTTGCTATTCTCGGGTCTCGTCTTCGCGCGCCCATTTAAGACGACGTATGATAAGCGACGCGGGGTCTGATTAAAGCGGGGATCAAGCTAATTACTGTAATTGCCACTGTTTGCGAAAACCATCTTTGGGCACCACTACCGACTCAACCTAGTTAGCTGGCTAAATAGAGACAAATAGGTTAGACAAGCAACGACTTAAGATTTCACCTCCGTATTTGAACAGAGCGGGCGGGAGTTCGTAGGAATAAGCGGCCGATTATGCTTGAGGGACGAAAGGTATTCGTCTATTTCCGAAGCTGTCGGAGATTCCAAGTTCACTGTCCAGGGCTGTGTTGCCAGTCTGGAATCCGGCTGAGCAACTGCACCTGACTCCGCGCAGGTGCTATTTTCACCTGAATCCTGACAGTTCGTCTAGAAGTATCGTGCTCTCGATCAGGAGAAATGTGTTCAAGCTTTGAGGAGTTTTGGTGTTGATTGAGGTCTAATGCTTGGG